CTAAACTTCTAATAACACATTATTTACTGCTCAGCTCAATCTGTATGTTGTCTATAGAATCCTATGGCCAGTAGCAAAATTAAACATCAATAAATATGCCTTCCTGACAAGGAAATAACCTCATCTATGTGAAAGCAGAACTTGAAATGGTAGCAGTGAATATGATATGTATGAAATTCAAAAAGCTAAAAAACTTCCACATCCTAGATCTTGATTTTTGCTTAAGTACAAAAAAAAATCACTATTTCTGTAGAGCAGAATGGCAATGTTTATAGTCCATGAAGACTATCCATTCTGTTTACTCTGAACCAAGTAAAACTGGACTGCACCTTGAATCTGAAAAATTTGTCCCCAGTTGATGGCATTTGTGTTTTCCAGTAGTTCCCAGTAAGTCTCCAGCTCCTTGTAGAAAACTGCATAAGCATTGGTGTAATGGTCAAGGTCATCCGTCTCATTCTGGGGAGAAAAAATATGGAAGAATTACAAATTCTGCCCCTTCACACACACAAATTTTTCACATTGGAATCAAAACTCACTAAAGGCCAACTCCAGAGACATAAAAAAATGTTATTTGGTTTCTAAGGTCTTCAGACCACACCTCTTCTGGAAAACAAAATATGTTCCCTGCCCCTGAAAGAGCTGAAATAGCACAGCCTGGCCTCATCAATACTATTACACCCTCTTACTCTCCAAAACAGGCTGGAAACACTCAAACTGCCAGCTGGGGATTGTTCACTGGGGATTGTTCACATCCTGTGCTGACTCCTTCATTGCTGGTTGTCCCAGAGACCTTGATAAGGATTTAGTTGTACCTCATACGAGCCTACAAGAAGAAGGGATTGTTATCTGAGCCTAGAGTTGGGGAAGCATCCACAAATTTGTGCAGCTCAGAGATTGCTTTATCACAGTGGACAGAGGGAGTTACGGCAATGCCCCCTCTGAAACCCTCTGTAGCACAGCCTGTCATGGACTACAGGAATGCAGAAGGACCCTTCTTTCAGCTTGTAGCTGCATCCGCCCCACCATAAGGTCACTAAGGTTCTTTTTTTGTGTGTCTGTCGGTACAAAGGTTGGAAAGACCAAAGAATCCTTGGAGAGGTTCGGTCAAGTGGCATGAGTGCAGGTAAAATGTGTCTCTGCATAAACTCTGCAAGTTAATCTTCAATCAGTGTAATCAGGCTAATTACAATCAATTAGAGTGTGTATTTCATAACTAAGTTTGTTTATGCTATAATTCCTAGGTAGAATGTCTCAGGAAAAAGCAGCACTCCCTATAGTGTGCTTTGTGCTGGCACCCACCGGGATGTCCTATGGCACTTTATGGTTCCCAGCTCCCCATTACACACTTCCCAGATACAGTTGGCTCCATCCATAAAGCCCTCAGAAAGCTGGGAGGAAGGCTCCAGTCATGTTGGATCCACCTCTCGGAAAGAAAGACAAAAACCACCTCCATCTACCTCCCTCTGTGGCCGGGTGATAACAGCTTTGAAGTCTGGCCATGAGTCCACCACCACTTCTGTCCTGAAGGGGTTCCCTCGGCTGATGTTCATCACAGCTCCATAAACCTGCAGGAGGAAGAGCCAATAGAAGAAAGACAGTTTGAGACATGCTACCATGTGTTGTAAACCAGGGACTGAACCAGTGACACAGAGCTGAAACTTCACACACACACATCTCATGTGGGTTGATACCTACATACTGACCAGTAAGGCACAATACCTTGAAGATAAACCATTATCTAATTATGCCAACCCTAATCACCATGGAGAGGAGGTGGACCAATGTTGTTCTTTTCTTAAGAACAGGGACTTGGGTTAGTAATCAGGATCAAAGGATAAGACAGGCTGAGAGAGTTGGGGTTGTTCAGCCTGGAGACGGGAAAGCTCTGGGGAGACCTTAGAGCACCTTCCAGTACCTAAAGGGGCTCTAAGAGAGTTGGAGAGGAACATTTTACAAGGGTCTGGAGTGACAGGACAAGGGGGAATGGCTTCAAACTGAAAGAGGGCAGGTTTAGATTAGAGATTTGGAAGAAATTCTTCCCTGTGAGAGTGGTGAGGCCCTGGCACAGGTTGCCCAGAGAAGCTGTGGCTGCTCCTTCCCTGGAAGTGTTCAAGGCCAGGTTGGATGGGGCTTGGAGTAACCTGATCGAGAGGAAGGTGTCCCTGGCCATACCAGGGCATTGGAACTGGATGAGCTTTAAGATCCCTTCCAAGACAAACCATTCCTTGACTCCATATCTCAGATGCAGTTATCTGACTATCAGTCAGTCCAGAGGAAGCACAACCCTTTCCCTACAGCTTTGATTCCCTGACAAACATCCAAAATCACTGATGGAAATACCACAGAAAATGAAGGTCAGTGCTGCGTTACCTTAAGGGACTCAGGAAAACTCTTCCTTAACATTTTCTCAAGCATCTGTAGCTTCCTGGAGCAGTTAAGTACCAGCATCTCTCTTGCTGGGAACACATAGGAAATATAAAGTTTCACTCTAAAAAGAGATAATGTGAAGGAACTGAGTTGGCATAATTGCTAATTTCATAAAATACAGTATCTCCCACAAGTGTCTTGCTTCAGAACGTACCTGTGTAAAACAAACAAAAAAATTTCCAAAACCAAAAAGTTTCTGAGAGGCCAAAAAAAAAAAAAAAGAGTAACTTCACTTAAAAAGTCTAAGGGGAGAATTCAAATCCTAAGGTTTCTCAGAGGTAGCACAATGTTCATTCTTCCTTTTACCTCTCAAATGTGCACCATTTAATCTTAAAAGCATTTCCCTTTGCTGCATTTTGTTATAAATATTAACACACCTTAAGAATTACTGCAGCCATCAAGTATCCACCTTCCTGCTAAGGAACATCTTATGAACAGCCACCCCTCAGGATCACAGGTCAGCAACCTCATCTGGTGGAAGGCGTCCCTGCCCATGGCAGGAGGTTGGAACCAGTCGAGATTTAATGTCCTTTCCAACCCAAACCCTCCTATGATTCTATGATTACATGTAGGTATTTACCTTCCTTGAAGCTTATATTCCATTTTCTCACCACATTCAATGGAAAAACTGTCTCTGGATCACTGCATCACTGTACATGCAACTATACCTAAAGGCAGCATCAGTACATGTTTGAATACACAGCTACTTTTACTTAAGGACAGTTCTAAGACCTTTATGCCTGGAAATACTTTTAGACTCGGAAAAAATATTGATATGTATAGCCCACCTGATCACTTACCTGCTTGCAGTGTTGGAGTTCACCCTTCCAAAGTGCTTGAAGTGAGGAGACTATAAAAATACATCCACTTTGTGGCTGCTTCTGCACAGGGAATGATGAGAGTCCTCATTCAGAATCTCAAATCTATAATTTTATTGATCCAAGTTGTTCTAAATTGGTATACTGTTCCTAGCAGCTTTGTTCTGTCTTTTCTGGGGGGAGCATGGAAATAAAAGCCAGAGCCAGCCACACCTTCAGAGGAGGAGGGACTCTGTAAAAAAAGTGACACAGGGCTTGTGCAGGAGTATAGGCTCTAGAACTTTTAATTTTGTCATGAAGACATTTAATCTCTTTACATTCATACCAGTGAATGGTATGCTTTGCACACACTTATAAAGATCTCTTTTCTTCTCAGTGGGAGGGAAATTAGTCAGTTCTCATTCTCAGTGCCAAGGTTCTTACCATGAGGTAAACTGAGACCAGAGAAACCCAACCCAGCTCAGTGGCCCCAAACACCACTTTGAGGTGGCAGCCCTGTTCCCTTTTTGCCTGAGTTTTCAGTTGTCCCCATCAGTCTAGTTTGATGATGTTAACCCATCTTGTCCTCTGGATTTGGACTGGATAACCTACAAACAAGGCAGAGGAGTCGATACAGAAGGAACGTTGAAGTGTTACATGAGAGGACATGCAGATGTTTTGCTTGAACATAAGAAAGGGTTGATATGGGATAGAGATGAATGTCACTGATATATCTTAAGAAATCTGTAGCTTATAACTTATTGCTTGAAGCCAAGGCTTGTGAAATTGAAGTTTCAGATGCTCCCAGGTCATATCACACAAGTTCACAGTTCCATACAGACTGATCAACAGTGAACCTGCTCCTAGAGGGGTCTTCTAAACTCATCAAAGCCACAGTCTGACCATTCTACACTGAATAAAGTGTATCCAACATCAAGTAAGTTAAGCTAAGACCACTTCCTAAATGTCTGGATTTATGTTCCTGGTTTATGTTTTTCTGCTTATGTGTGCATGACAACCCCAAGATAACAACATCCTAAGAACAGCCAGCCTATCACAAAATCACCTAGTCTCAGGAAAAAAAAAAAATTAAAATAGTTAATTAAAAAAATTAACCTGTACCTATCTATCCCTGTAATGCAGAAGCTCCTTCTTCAATTACTGCTATTTCAGCTTTCCTTGTGTGGAAAGTAAGTATTTGTGTAAGTATTTGACTCCTACTTACTGCCCTTTTCCACACTTTCTTTTGAAAGTATTAAAAAAAAAAATGAAAAGGTATCCATGCGGTTCAGGCAGTTCAAAACCCACACAGTCATTTGCTCACAAGTAAATCACCCTTAATGAAACAAAGCAAAAATTAAGATGCTGGTATGCAGGAGAATCATGGATTAAAGTACTTTTGGATAAAGTCAGTAAATGCTCCCCTTGTCAAGTGATCAAAAATTTGAGAAATAGTTTTAAATAATTATGCACAGGAAAATAGATTTTTTAATTTCATTTTCATCCCTTGAATCCAAAAGGTATTTGACAGTTAATGAAATACAAGGTGAGTACACAACTCTGAGATCAGAGCTTTGCTCTATAATGTTCTCAGGTAGTTTCCCCAAGCACCTGGATAAATCAGGTGGGGTTATTTTTTAGCAGTAAACATGAAAGTGCAAAAAAATCCTGTACATTTGATAAAAATGATTCAATTTCTTGCCATGGTGGGTGTTTTACTAAAAAAAAAAAAAAAAAAGTAGAAAATCGAACAGGGCATTTACAACTGAGTATTAGAAAATCATATTTTTACTAGGTGGTTCAGGTTTAAAGAGGATTTAACTCTTACTTTGATAAGAGATTCTGCCTTCAGTGATCTACAGATGTAAATACAGATGTGCAAATGTAATGGAATAGTTGCCTAATTCTATAAAAATGCCCAAATAACCCAGGATCCATTTCCCTCCCTTCTCCTAAGACAGGATATATCAACATTAGAAGTTATCACAAGTCAAAACCCAAAAGAATCCTTGATAGATGACATACATTCTGGGACTCCAGTGATTTATCTACAGATTTATATACCAATATTCACAGAAAATGTTTTAAGAGAAATTCAGCAGTCACAACAGCAAAGCCATCAGAAAGAAAACAGTTTCCATGCTGAGCATCCTGCTGCTCTACATTAACACAGAGTGCTGGCCGACATTATCTCCTTCAAAGGAGACTCCACACATTTCATCTTCTCAAAGCAAGTCCACCTTCTCGTAGGTCTTTTCAATGAGGGTTAACAAGTTCTTCAAGTCAGCTGACTGCTGAATAGTGTTCAGATCCTTTAAAAGACCTTTCTGATTCTTTGTCTTCAAAATTTCTTCCTAAAGAAGGAAAGAATGATGGACAACAAATAAAAACCGCTTTTGTCAAGTGCAACAGGAATTCCCCTTTCATGCAGCCCAGCTGTAGCCAAAATAAGATTAAAAAAAGATTCAGAAAGACAAAGAGTAAGTCTTCCCTTCAACAGTTATAGATATGTTTCAGGTATGATTACAGGTTCCCTAGGACCACAGGTTTTTCTAGGAAGAGACAAGTGATCCTTTCAATCAGAGAATGATTTAGCTTGGAAGGGACCTTAAAGATCATCCAGATCCAAGGCCCCTGCCAATGACACGGACACCTTCCACTAGACCAGGTTGCTCAGGTCCTGTCCAATCTGGCCTTGAACACTTTCAGGGATGGAGAGAGTTTCCAGGGTTTTGTTCTGTTTTTAAAACATAAGTATATAGTTCCCAATGAAAAGAAACAAGAAAAAAAGAGGAAAATCTCTTCAATTTTTCTGAATTTTCAGAATTGCCCCCTCTGACAGAAGATGTGATAAAAGCACATTCTGTTGCCTTCCTTCTCATAACCAAAGTGCTACATATATATATATTTATATAAATAACAGTTATATATATGTATATAAATATATTATACATTCCACACTCACTTGCAAAGTGGGTGCCTGCAAACTGTGCTTGGGGAGTTCTGGAAGGTGGAGTGCACCACTGCCATTTTCCTGGAATACCTAGGAAGGGAAAAAGAAAAAATAATCCAAAAAACCCCAAACATCAGGCTCCCCAGTAGGAAAATAACCAGTCTTTATCCAACTTCTGAAAACTAAACTTCTTAATTTTGCGACTAAAGTTGGCAAAATTGAAAAGAATCATTCCAAAGGCAAACGAGGCCTTCCTTAAATGACATTCCCTGAGAAACAGTTTGTTTAGGACAGCTCTCGAAATCAGACCATTCCTATAGGTTAGGGTACAGAAGTATTTATTGGAGATACCTTCCTGGCCTCTTTTTCATCTTCCTCTAACTGGTTCTTCAGCAGCTGGATTTTGTACTGCAGTTGCTGCACATTTTCCTCAATGCGCTCTGCTGATCGCTCAGCTTCAGTTATTTCTTCCTAAAATAAAACAGACACAAAACCAGAATAAAATTTACTTTAAAGATAGGGAGCCTTTTGTACAGAACCATCTAGACAGAGACACTGCTGTGCAGCAAAGGTGGGTGATGATGAGCAGTGGACACTCCTCCACAAGGGTATAGGTACAGTCAGCTCTCTGTCTACTAAAAGGTTACAACACACACTGAGCAGCAGCAGCTGGGTAAGGTAATTCCTTCCCTTTCTTGCCTTTCATACCTGCAGTTGTGCCAAAGATTCCTCATTTGCCTCAAGCATTTGTCTCTCTGCCATTTGAAGGCTTGGGATATTCTTCAGGCTGTCCAGCTTCCCTGGAGGCACCTTTAAAGTCTTGAAAACTCTCAGCACCCTGAAGTGTAGAAAAAGGAAAACATGACTTGTTTGGAGTTCTTTGCAAAACCAAAAGTGACTAATTACTTCTCTGGGGAAAAAAGTAAACTCAGTTTAGCCCAATTGCTGCCAGGGAAGTAAAAGGTTCCAGACAGGAAGAAAAACTGTCTTGAACTGTTTTCCAAAATCATGTGGAATAGATGTCTACCTAAAGAAGGAACTGGGAACGAGAAATCCCACCATTCTCACCTTTGCCACTGCACTGACCTTGTGTGGTTTCTATCCCACTGGCCTGTACACTCCCTGATTGAAAAGCAGAAGGGTCAGAACAGTTTAAAAAGTAAAACTAAGTTCTAAAAATCAGCATTTTAGCTACTTCCAAACAATCATCATTTTAGTAAAACCTGAACATGATACAGGATATATAGCGTTTTGTCAGAGGGAGAGTTTAGCTTGTCCTCAAAGCATGGTACAAAATAACTGGGTAAAAGAAATCTCTTCTCTCACTCTTTTAATTTATTTCTTACCTTTTTTTCAGTACATTGAGGTGCTTCTGAACATCATCTTTTTCCTTCCTCTGTTGGCACAAAACAGATCTGGAAAGAAAATAAAGGCAGAATTCCCATCACAAAGCCTGCAAGCACAGAGAACACATCAAATGAAGTGCACACAGTCAGAACTTCTCTAGGTAAAAATTTCCAATTTCAGATAGAAAGTGTTATATTATATTGCATAAAATATAGACAGCCAGCCATACTGCCCAAAAAACCTCCAAAGCATTTCCAGTTCAAACAATATTACAATTTTTACTTTATTCCTTGTGGAAACAAAGAAGAACCACTAGGATATTTGGCACTTACAGTACTGCTGAATCCACTACAGTTTCCAGAAATTGTCTACTGCTCTCTGAGAGAGTCTGCCAAGATCCTATTGTAGCACTGGAAAGCTTCACTTTTTTTGAAGAAACATTTTCTCCTGTTAACACAAAGGAAGAAAAGGAAAAAAATATGATTTGTCAAACCTGGACAGATGGTTTTGTGACTCATTTCAGTCAGATGGGAGTCAAAGGTGTAACAGTTCAGATTTAACAGGAAAGAATAAGATCCTACCTCCAGGGGAATAGTCTCTCTGCTCCTTAACTGTCCTTTTGACTGTCTCAGTGACCTGCTGAAGAGAAAAATTTATAGCAAATATGGCAATTTTGAAAATCTTCTGATATGCCATCATCCATCCACTACTATTAACCCACTGTGTTAGTGCCTGACACTAAAAAAACACCTTTTTTGAACTGTGCAACAGTAATTCATGCCAAGCAGGCTAAGGAAAAAAAATTCACTCTTCCCAATTCCTCCCATTCCAAGAATGAGATCATGAAATAAACGCACGGGATGTTTGTCTGTTCAGCTGCATCTTGAGATCGTGGTGTTCATCAGTTCAGTGGCTGGGCAAGAAAGCTTGTTGGAGAATCCTGTCCTGAGACATGCAGAGAATATCTTCCAAAGGTGAATAAACTGAGCTGAATGAACTCTGACCTGATCACTCTCAATCAGATGCTGTTCAGCAGCTCTTCACAACTGCACAGCCAGCTTGCCTTTTCACTCATAATCAGGCAATGCTTCCCTCTACTTGTGACAGGCACAGTTGCACCCAACTAGGAATTCTGGAAACCAGGAACCAGTCAAGGTTGCTCAAAAGAGCTGTTCACACTGGGCATTTCCTCAAGTTACATTTAGTTACTTAATTGTTCTCTATAAATTTCAGCTTAAAAATGGGCAAAAATACCTCTTTTTTCCCCCCTTTGGTTACTTCTCTACTTTGATCCAAAATAATGAATACCTGTCTTTTTTGACCTTGTTTTCTTCCTTCTCCATCTGTTCCTTTTTTTTTGCTGGAAGGCTTCAGTTTGTGTTGAGACTTAAAAGGGTTTTTTGCTGATCTCCCACCAGGGGTCTCCCCCATTTTAGTGGAAGGTGTGTGGCGGGGTTTCATTATCTGTAAACCAACGGAAACAGGAGGAAAAGACAAAATTCAAATCTAGCAATTACGAGCCTAAATGAGCACAAATGTCCGCATATTTGCTAATCTAAAGCCTAAATCTTGTATATTTACTTAAGTGCAGGACTCCTAAAAAGCATCCCCATTTGCCTTTTTAGACAAACTCTTACTTGTTTCACATCTGTTTCTAAAGTCAAAAGGCAGCAGGACGGGTATGTCAAAGAGCAGCAACGGCAAAGCAACAGAACTGAACTGAGAAAAGCCTAATTTGTTCTTAAAGGTTTCCATCAGTAGAAAATTCTCTGCTCTCAAAAGACCCTACCTGTAACAGTGTTCAGCTCTGGGGCCCCTAAAATAAGAAGGATGTGGAGTTGCTGGAGCAAGTCCAGGGGATGCCACGGAGACACTCTGAGGGTTGGAGCACCTCTGCTGTGGAGACAGGCTGGGAGAGCTGGGGGTGTTCACCTGGAAAAGGCTCTGGGGAGAACTTAGAGCTCTTTCCAGTGCCTAAAGGGGCTCTAAGAGAGCTGGAAAGGGACTTTGCACAAGGGTCTGGAGGGACAGGACAAGAAAGAATGGCTTTAAGCTGACAGAGGGCAGGTTTAGATGAGATATTAAGAAAAAACTCTTCCCTGAAAAAGGGAGGTGAGGCCCTGGCACAGGTTATCCAGAGAAGCTGTGGCTGCTCCATCCCTGTAAGTGTTCAAGGCCAGGCTGGATGGGGCTTGGAGGAAGGTGTGCCTGCCCATGGCCCGGGGGTGGGACTAGATGGTCTTTAAGGTGCCTTCCAACCCAAATCATTGTGTGATTTTATCTTTCTAATGCAGCTTAGCACAGTCATCCAATTACCAGTCCTTCTTACCTTAGCCCCTAATCACAACAGTCCTTGCTGCCATTTAAACCTACAGTTTCTTTTCTTACTTACTACAGAGACAGAGGGAAGAGCAATCCCACAGAAAGGAGCAGCCACAACATCCCACCACCCTTCTCTTCTCTATATATATTCAGTTTTTCTTTCATCCCCTCGGGCCATTTTCCCCTCACTCAGAGGTCCTGTCACGGCTCACCAGGGGAGCGACCGACCCTACACCAGATAAATAAGCCCCAGGCCAGCTAAGTAAGCCATGTTAAGAAGCCCTATAAGAGGTAAATAATGCCTAAACGAGGTAAGCAAGCCCTGTAAAAGGTACATAAACCCTAAACCTGGTAAGTAAGCGCTGTCTTTCCCCTCCACAACTACCGATGCTGTGGGACAGCTTTCACAGGGCACAAGAGATGGCGCGAGGACTACAACTCCCGGCATGCACCGCTCCCCAGCGCCGCCAGGCCCACTCGCACACCGAGCGCAATGCAGGCTGGGAGTTGTAGTCCTCCCCACCCATACTCCCAATACCCTTAAACACCCGCTCTCCCGCCGCTGCCTGATAACACCCCGGGTAACATCTCCACAAAAACCTTCTCCCTCCTCCCGGTTCATCTCGCCCCGAGCCTCACCGGCCCGGCGCTGCCACCTCCTCTTCCTTCTCCTCAGCGCTCCTGCCTCAGCCCGCCGGGACGTTATAAAATAAACCGCGCTCCCCCGCGCACGCGCACTGACGTTCCCGCCCACCGCGCGTGCGCGGGGTCCGAGCGCTGACGGAGGGGCCGAGACAGGTAACGGGAAGGTGGGGTGGTGTGTCTGTCCCCGTTCCCATTCCTACCATCCCTGTCCATATCCATGTCTGGAGTCCCTGTCCCCGGTCCCTGTCCTTGTCCCGATCCCCTAACCCAGACGCCGTCCCGGCCCCGCGTCCCCATTGGCCGCCGAGGGGGCGTGTTTGTGGGCGGGGGGTGGTGGCGGGGGGCGCCCGGTCACCCCCCGGCTGTGGGCGCTGAGGGGGGACAGCGGACAGGGCGGCTTTGGGGCTCCCTCGGGGTGAGGGGCTGGCGATGGAGAGATGGGCAGAGAACTGACTGAAGCTCAGCAAGGGCCGGTGCAGCGTCCTGTGCCTGGGGAGGAACAGTCCTGGAGTGTATTAGTGACAGCATTGCCAGCAGGTCAGGGAGGGGATCCTGCCCCTCTGCTCAGCCCTGGGGAGGCACATCTGGAGTGCTGTGCCCAGCTCTGGGCTCCTTGGGACGGGAGAGACGTGGAGCTCCTGGAGCGGGTTGTTGTGATCAGGTTATTACGATTATTGGAGAGATGCCTCTACCCCATTTAAAGTGCAAAAGAGACCACATGCCGAAGTCAGTACGGATTTTATTTAACAGTAAATGTGAGGGAGAGAGCGAGAGAGAAAGAAATAGAAAAGAGAGGGAGGGGGAGAGAAAGAGAGTGACAAAGAGTAGGCACATATCACCACCTCGTGGATCCAGAAGGTGTCCTGTAGTCCTTTTGCCCGTGGCTTCTTGGTGGTGAGGGTTCCACCAAACACAGAGTTCAATGGATTAATATAAGTTCAGGGATATGGGTTGCCCAAGGTTGCACCTCCCCTGCAGGAAGGAGTTTTACACTGTCTTTTGCAACACTGTGGATCTGTTGCAACACTGTGGATCATATGGTGGAAGAGCTCAGAAATGAGTCTGGGGGCTATGGCCTCCCCCTGCCAGACCCAGCCAGCGCTGATTTTCAGCACAGCTGCTGAGTTGGCTTTCCTTGTGGATACATTCCTCTCCCCCAGGCTTGTTTACTTCTCCTTAGACCTGAGGTAATTGGCCTTTATCTTATCCCAAGCTCAGGTGGCTTAACTCACAGTCCAGTTTCCCAGTTTCAGGAGATGTATTTGTACAGGGTGGGCTTCTGTGGTTGGAGCTTCTTTATACAGTTTGGCATAGTAGGCAAAGTCCTTCAGTGATCTTAACAGTAGTTAAGACAATTATGATTTTTAAGTCTCTTACATGGGTCCAGCAGAGGGTGACAAAGATGATGAAAGGACTGGAGCATCTCTCTTAGGAGGAAAGGCTGAGGGAGCTGGGCCTGTTCAGCCTCAAGAAGAAACACTGAGTGAGGACCTCATCCATGTCTGTCAACGTTTGCAGGGAGGGGTCAGAGGATGGACCAGGCTGTCCTTGGGGTTTCCCAGCAATGGGGCAAGAGGAATGCGCTGGAACTGGTGCCCAGGAAGGTCCACCTGAACATGAGGAAGAACTTTCCTGTGCAGTGACCGAGCACTGGAACAGGTTGCCCAGAGAGTTTGTGGAGTCTCCCTCACTGGAGATATTCCAGAGCTGTCTGGACACAATCCTGTGCCCTGTGCTCTGGGAGGACCCTGCTTGAGCAGGGTGGTTGGAAGACCAGATGACCCATTGTGGTCCCTCCCAACCTGACCCGTTCTGTGATTCTGTGACTGATGCAGCAGTGGGGGCCCAGGTTACCTTTCATCCTGGCTGCAGCATCACATGCCCACAGGGAATGAGTGCTCCTCAGGTGCTCCTCTGTGCCTAGCAGGTTATATACGTACCACACTTAGCATATATATTATTAAAGCACCTGTTTGGAGTGTTGCTGCAACACCATCATGGTGAGAGAGGTGTTTTCCAGTTTTATGTGAGATTTCTCATAAAGGTGTCAGGGGAGTGTGATTTTCCAGGGGTTGTGAAAGAAATGAGACAGAGAGGAGGTGAGCGGCCCTTGGAGCCAAGCTGTAAAGGTTGTGGCTTCAGAAAGAAGGCAGGGATAGGGTATGGAGAGCAGCAGCAAAGGAGCTTACAGCTTTCAGGAGTTACTGAGCTTACAGAATCACAGGATGGTTTGGGTTGGAAGGGACCTTAAAGATGATCTCATTCCAACCCCTTGCCATGGGCCGGGATGCCTTCCACTACACCAGGTTGCTCCAAGCCCCATCCAGCCTTGAGCGTTTCCGGGGATGGAGCAACCACAGCTTCTCTGGGCAGCCTGTGCCAGGGCCTCACCACCCTCACAGAGAAAGTTAAAGTTGTCTTCCATACCAGTCTCACGTGTGGTGGGATGAGCTCTGGAGCTCTTGCATGATCCCTGTGTTCTCACATACCACAATCTTTTTCTCCTATTTTTCCCAGTGTCTCTGATTACCATCCAGCCCAAGCCACCTTTTCCAAAGTTTGTGATATATCAGCAATTTTCTCACAGTCCACTTTCTGCAGAGTGCCTCCTTGATGTTGGATATAGGAAGAAAACCTTCCCTGTGACGGTGGTGAGGCCCTGGTACAGGTTGTCCAGAGAAGCCTTGGCTGCCCCATTCCTGGAAGAGGGTCCCTCTTTGCCATTAAGGAATTCATAGATGAGAGAGGTGGGAAGGTCAGAGGGTAACTGGGCATGGCATCTTCATGCCTCACACTGACTTTTCAGTGACTGATTAACGATGGTACTGCTGAGGGACTGAATAAGTTACACATTTATGATGTGGATATAGATGGGTTTGGAAACGTTTCCTTGGCTAGAGGAAAATGATAATGCAGATATGTGTATTTATTTTGTCCAGCTCACCCCGGGCTGACAGCTCAGCCATGCTGAGGGCCAGGGACGTCATCCTGCGGCTGCAGCCGTGCCGCTGCACGCTCCCGGCACAGATTCCAGCCAGCCAGAGCACATGGCGTTCCCTGCACAAGCAGCCCCTGCACCCAGAGTGGGCTGCCCTGGCTGAAAAGCAGCTGAAAGGCAAGAACCCCAAGGATTTAATCTGGCACACCCCTGAGGGGATCGACATCAAGCCGTTGTACTCCAAGAGGGACACCAAGGACCTTCCTGAGGAGCTTCCAGGGGTGAAACCTTTCACTCGGGGGCCCTATCCCACCATGTACACCTATAGGCCATGGACAATCCGACAATATGCTGGATTCAGCACAGTGGAGGAGAGCAACAAGTTCTACAAGGACAACATAAAAGGTAGGGCAGCTGGTTTGGGAAAAAACATTGCCTTGTGAAGCAGTGGGGAACATGGATTTGGTGAGTTACATGGCAAATGTGATTGTTCTGCCTCGTGAGTTTGGGTTTCTGATGGAATCTTCCCAGTGGTGCTATATTTCTTTATTATTGGGAAATTGGATCATTTCTGGAACTGCCTTACTTCATTGTGCTGTGGAAAAGGAATGTGTTAAATGCTGGTTTTAGTTACTGCACCTTAACCCATAGAGAGACGTAATTTGGCTCCATCCCAGAGTCCAACCAGCAGAGATTATGGAGCACTTCACACTTGTTTTGAGACCATGAGAGAAGATTGTAGTGGAAAAAAAAGTTGAACTATGTAACTTAACTTCTGGTGATAGTGCATTCTGACATTTTGGGTTTCCATCTCATATTCTGAATGAACTCAGAAATACCTGTTAATAGTGTCATTCATGGCATATTACTAAATACAAAGTATGGAAATTTTCCTTATTTGAGAACAGTTTTCCCAATATTTCTGCAGAGTATTGTCCTTTGCAGATGTCCCTGTCCATGGCAGGGGGGTTGGAACTAGATGATCTTTAAGGTCCCTTCCAACCCAAACCAATTCTCTGTGATTGTTGAGGAGTTGTTTGGGGATTTCTACATCTTTTGATACCATGGTTTTTTGTTTCTCTTTCCTGTAGCTGGCCAGCAGGGATTGTCTGTTGCTTTTGATTTAGCCACCCACCGTGGGTATGATTCAGACAATCCACGAGTTCGAGGAGATGTTGGAATGGCTGGAGTCGCCATTGACACTGTGGAAGACACCAAAATCCTTTTTGATGGAATTCCTTTGGAGAAAATGTCTGTTTCCATGACAATGAACGGGGCAGTGATTCCCGTGTTGGCAACATTCATTGTGACTGGAGAAGAGCAGGGAGTGCCCCAGGCCAAGCTGACAGGGACAATCCAAAATGACATCCTGAAGGAGTTCATGGTCCGCAATACGTACATATTCCCCCCAGAGCCATCCATGAGGATCATTGCTGACATCTTCCAGTACACCTCAAAGGTATTCATTGTTTAAATGTACTTCTGTTACTGTGTCAAGTTAACTATTTATGAGGCACTTTATGAGAACAAAGCAGAAGATGGGAAGACCTGTCATAGTGGAGAATAGTGAGGTCATGGAAAGGGCTGGCAGGAGAAGTTAAGATCCCAAATCACTTACAACATAAACTTGAAGGTTTTTTTAAGTCAGTCCAAATCAAAGTCAGATTAAGGTGAGCCTAAGCCTGAAAGGATGCAGGAAGCTTGGAGATGAGGAACATTCAGGCTGTTCTTTGCAGAGAAAGTAAGAAGCCACATAGTTAAACATTATTTGCAGAAGCAAAGAGGTAAGAGTCTTGAAGGGCTTCTGCTGCAAAATTAAGCATGAGAAGAAGGTAATGAAAGGAGTGAAGTCTGGAACTGATGACTGGAAGTTCAGT